AGTCTGGGCTGTTTCTCTTTGGCTCAGTCTGAAGCGTGTTGTTCTTGTTATTGGGGGGAGGGGGTATATATCTGGGAGCACTTTTGTTTAAAAGACAAAATACCTAGTTGGAGAGTGCAGCAGCTGACAGTGGGACCTGCAGAATGGTGTAATTGTTTCACCACTAAACGGAGTGAAGGACTAGTTGTTCAACACAGTTGAATCTGGAAGCTTTTCCTGAGATTCTTAAATCCTTTTCAATTAATTGATTTCTGCAGAAGATTTTACAGTGCTTTTCATCCCTTTTCTCTTTAGTATTTGAGCATTTATCTGCCACCCTTTCAGCTTTGACTAGTATCACTCATGAGATTTCTTGTATGAGAAAACTGTGAATAGAGTAGGAAAACTATGTTTTGTGGTGGTGGCTGCTCTTTTAGTACTTATGTTCTGCTCTCCAAGTTGGTAAGGAATTTCAGTGACATGATAACCTGGAAAACAGCACTTTTGGTGCTGGATGAGTTTATTTCAGTAAACTGGGGATTAACCCCAGTTTACTCTCCTGTATCTCTTCCTCTTTAGCACAGTAAACAATTCTGTCCTTTAGGTAGGATATAATTTAATTCCTTAGCCATGGCCTTCCAATACTTGGGCTGCTACTTAGGTTTATTTCTATGCAGGTTTTTAGCATATTGTGTTAAGAGAAGATGCTTTTATGTGAAAGATGTCCTCTACTTCTCTAACTTGTGCAACTTTTTCTGACTGAGGTTCCACTTTTTTTTTTGCCTCTGTTTTATGGATTATTGTGGCGTTGCTGCTGGAATTCACTATAGCTTTATGTACAGTCCTGGAGGCTAAACCTTGTACCCTTAAATGTGGCACTTGGTCTCTTTCACATCAATTAAATTAATTCTGTGGATAAAGGAAAGGGAAAAGAGGAGAAACCTTGACTGCGTTCCATTTTATTGAAAAATAAATAAAATCCAACATTTAGTAGCAGCAGGGCTTGTACCATCATGAACATAATAATTCAGCCTGTTGCTTCTGGATTGGTAAAATGTCTGTGCCTAGGGCAAGAAATACGAAAGAGGGGGTTATAGAGAGGTTCTGTGTCAACTGGAGCAAGAATTAGTTTCTTTCTCAGAGGGGACAAACAACCTGGCAGCTCCTAGGAGCTCCCAGTAACAGACAGGTACTGAACCTACCTCTGTCTCCTACTCATGCATCTCGGTCACACACACATGCAGGTGGAAGGAGCCATCCCCTGAAGGGGGGATCAGGCAAATTAAACAGTGCAAGAAGGCAACGTATTCTAGTAAACTGACTCCATCTTGGACAAGGCCTTTGGTCCTTTTGCAGAGCAGTGAGTGATTTAGGGGCAGATGATTCCCTAAGGTCCACTTAGGTGCAGTCAGGCTGTGCTGGAGCTCAAAATATTTAAAGGTACGTCAGTGGCCACTGGAATTCCGGAGCCAGAGAACAGGCACAGGCAAGATCTAGTTTGCTGCTGCTGAAGCAGTGAAATGTCCTGAAATGTGAAGTCCTGCCTTTGTGGCTACTTGCATTTGTTGCTGTACCTTGACCTTGGAGGGAGACAAAGGCGCTCTACAGGCACCTAACACACTATAGCCCAGCATATTCAGGGTCATAACCAGCCACTTCCTCCAGGGTGGTGGGAAATGGTGACCCTGAGCTACTTCTCAAATCTGCAGAGTACCTCCTACTGGGGTGCTTTTTCTGCATGCAGCATTGCTTAGCTTTGCCTATGAGCAGCGGCCTTCTGAAGCCATTAGCTATCAGAGGCTTCATTTGTAGATAGGTAAACTGAGGCAGCAATGCTGGATTACAGCCAGGGTCATAAATAAGCAAGCAATAAAAGTGGATCCTTTTAATTCCTTGTCTCTCTTCTCTGGGACTTGTAAGCTTTCCTAGAGCTGAAAAGCATAGTCAAATTACCTATAGTTTCAGGTGTCATAGATATACAGAACAAGGTAAAAAGTCTTCCCAAGCACAGACAATACCCCCACTCTACTTGTGAATGATGATGGTCTTTAACATCACAGAATGATTGGTCTACCTTCCTGTGCCAGTACTAGTAAGCAGCTATAGCTATCAGCAGCAATGAGAGTCTTTGAGAAAGTCTGTGGGATCAAGCTCTAAGGCAAGATCCCACGTGGGATTGCATGGGCAGCATACAATTTCATTCCCTTGCAAAATATAATCTAGACTGACCCTGTCTGTGTGGCTTTTCATCTGCTTAAATCTGGATCAGCTCCACAGGTTTATACTGGGGGATGCTATGCTGATATTAGTGCTGCCGTCTCGCATGTGCATAAAGTTTTCTCTTGGTTGACAATTTTAAAGGGCTTTTGCAGTGGGTTGACCTCAGCTGGATGCCAGTTTTCCATCAAAGACTCTCTATCACTGCCCTCCTCAGCTGGACAGGAGAAAGAGAATGGAAGGAAAGGCTCTTAGATCAAGGTAAGGACAGGGAGAGATCACTCACCAATTACTGTCATGGGCAAAACAGACTCAACCTGGGGAAATTAGTTTAATTGATTACCAATCAAACCAGAGTAGGGTAATTACAAATACAAACTAAATCTTGAAGAACCTTCCTCCTCACCCCTCCCTTCTTCCTGGGCACAACTTTGCTTCCAAATTCTCTGTCTCCTGCCCCTCAGCAGCACAGGGGCATTAGCAATGGGAAGTTGCAGTCAGTTCATCACACATTTTCTCTGCTGCTTTTCCTCCTCAGGTGAGGTCTCCTCACACTTTTCCCTTGCTCCAGCATGAGGACAGTCCTTCATGAACTTCTCCACAGTGAGTCTTTCTCACAGGCTGTGGTTCTTAATTAACTGTTCCGGTATGGGTCCCTTCTACAGGGTGCAGTCCTTCAGGAACAGGCTGCTCCAGCGTGGGTCCCTTTGCTGGGTCCCAAATCCTGCAGCAAGCCTGCTCCACAGTGGACTTCAATGCCCTGCAGGAGCACAGCTGCCTCACCATGGGCTGCACCACAGGTTGCAGGGGAATCTCTGCTTCAGCTCCTGCAGCACCTCCTCCCCTCCTTCCTCACTGACCTGGGTGTCTGCAGGGCTGTTTCTCTCACACATTCTCATTCCCCTCTCCAGCTGCAGTTGCTCCTGAGCAGTAACATTTTTCCTTCTTAACTATGCTGTCCAGATGTGCTGCCACCATCACTGATGGGCTCATCCTTGGCCAGTGGTGGGTCCATCTTGGAGACAGCTGCTACTGATTTTATCAGACACAGGGGAAGCTTCTGACATCTTCTTGTAGAATCCATCCCTGTAGTCCCCCCCGCTACCAAAACCTTGCCATGCAAATCCAACACAGCTTAAAAAAAATATTCTCCTTATACTCTTGCTAAAATCCTAAAGATTGTGAGAAATCTAACATGGGTTAAAACAAAACAGGAGCATATGGGATATGCTTAAATGTGGTTACACTTGACGGCCAGTGCTATCTGCATAAATTTCAATGTAGCTTCTTTTTGAAACACTGATGGATTTCACACTGTTTGCTGCAATATGCGTGTACCATGTGAGAAGAGCACAGAGTCAGCTTAGCCTGAGTCTTGGACTAAAAAATGGTCAAAGACAATTGTATTTTCTTTCCAACAAACAGAGGGAAAGGGAAAAAGAGAAGGATACCATAAAGTTTTGACTTTACAGTGCTCTGCTACAGGGTGTATCCACAAACCTAAAACCTAAGCCATCTGTCCCACAGAGATATGCTGATATGTCCATCCCGGTGAGACAAGCCTGTTAGCTCCTGGTGCCTGCTCTTGCTATGCCTTACATCGGCCCTTGGAGAAAAGATTAATCTGTCTTAATTAGCTCCACACAACTCAGCCCTGGGATTTGCTCCTCTCTTGTATATTCCTGGCCTCAGTGCAGACAAATCTGATGAATCAGTCTGCAATGGGATTTACACAACAACCCCTATTTTTTGGTGGTTTGGCAAGAGCTCTGTGATGTCTGTTGGAACAAAGTCAAAGTAATTAAGATTAAGACTAAGTTCCCATTAGTTTGGTTTTGGTTTGTGCTTTACAGGACTGTTACTAGCTGTAGGAAAAGGCTGATCTGACAGCTTTTAATAAGGAGATATTATGGTTACTAGAGCCCTCCTAGGTTTCAGTACACCTTGAGGGTAAGATTTTGCATCTTTCTCATACCTGAATCAATTTATTTCATGTCGGAGAGTAGGAAGAACAGGAAGATAATTCAGCCTAATCTTATTTGTTCTAGCAATTTGATGTGAAAACTTCTTCCATAATTTATCAGGCATTGAAGCAAGGAGGTTTTATACACTAAATACAGAAATATTGTATGGTTTTGTATATATTAATAAAGAAGAGAGGATTATAACAGCAATTTATCTATACAAAATGTCAGTTTGTTTATATTTCATTTTCAATATTTAACAGTAATTGTTAGATTTTACTTAACTATCAATCAGATATACAGAATACAGGCTATGATACTGGTATCTATTTGTTCGTGAGCAAATATATTCTCATTATTACTTAGTTTCTTGATTTTTTTTAGGTACACTGGAAAAGTGGATAAATAGACAATACTTGAACTAACCATACATGTTCTTCCTCATCCTAGTATTAAAGTGCGTGCAAACCAATACACATAGAACCCTTATAGCATTGTCAATTCTTTTGTTAAAATTCAGTTTAAAACCTATGGATTTACTATTGTCCTTAATAAGCAGAAGATCTGTCAGAACAGTTATAAGTAAATCCTAGGAAGATCAGTTGGCTTTTTTTTTTTTTTTTCACTTTTGTATCAGAATAGGTTTAATATCTCTCAGAAGTTTATTACTAATAAAAAAAAGAAAGACATAAAAATGCAAAAAGACTTCTGTCTCAGCAAACTGTAGCTCAGGTTTTTAGGCAATCCTACATCACCTTCCATCACCACGTCATGTGTACAGCACTGGCCCTCGCTCTCCCTCCCTTGTTCTGTCCTCCTCTCACAACCCATGCTCTGGCAAGGAAGAAATTTTGCTGGTTTTTTGTTTGTAAAGACTCTGAGCGTGCTGGGGTGGGTTCACCAGGTGGGGTCTACACCCGCTTGACGCTGTTGAGGAGCTCCGTCAGTTCGCTGATGTACTTGATGGTGTACTTCAGGGTTTGTATCTTGGTGAGGGGCTGTCCTCTCTGGCTGTAGACCGGGGGCAGGTAGTTGCGCAGTGTGTGGAGCGCATCAGCCAGGGTCCTCATCCGCAGCTTCTCCCTCTCACTGGCTTTCCTCCTGCGCTGGGCGGACATCCTCACTTTTGTGCCCTTGGGCAGCCGAGCCTGCCCGGGGCTGGGTAGGTAGGCAGGGGGAAAGTCCACCAGGCTGTAACCCACCAGGTTGCCACTGCTGCTGCTGTAGGGGGTCTCCACTGCTGCTGGGCAAGGGGATGAGGAGTAGGATTCAAAGGAGGGTGCTGGGGATAAACTGTGCGGAGATGAGATGGGGTGCAGCTCGAAAGACCCAGTGGTGCTTTTCCAGTCCCAGGATGATAAGCAGATAGAGTGTTCTGAACCCAAAGTGTCTTCCATGTTTATCAGTGTCTCTTGCAGTTTGTCCATGCTGGAGAAGCGATCGGGAGAAGCAATGCCCTCTGCCTGCCAGCAAAGCCTGGAGCCGCTGGCTGCTGAGACCTTTTTATGATGGAGGGAGGAAAGTGACAGAGTGGGAACACGGGTTTGGTGAGAGGAGTTCAAAGGAGCAGCACAAGTGCTAAGATGGAAAATGAACTCCTGATGTGCTAGTTTCTTCCCGGTGATAATTATCAACCTTCAGCTAAAAAGCCTTTAAGCTAACAGGCAACAGAAAGAAAGGAGGAAAAAAAGATTATCTTCTTGCAACTAAACCAATTAAGGCTGCGCACCTACATTGTGCTGGGGGGATAAGTAGTAAGATAGGAAAAAGAAAATTAACCTTTTACAAACAATTTACAGACATAGAATTTAATGGCTGCTAATGCAAACTCTGAATGTAAGCCATTGAGCCCTGATTTCTGTGTAACTGAATGCGACGGCACTACAGCAGGGATGATTTGATTTGTGCTCACTGCTGCTGAAGTAGTCTCTCATTATCTGCAACTTAATCATGAAAGTCAAAGATGGGGTTTTTTTGGATTTGTCTGTGTTACGGCTCTTGAAATTGTCTTTTCATGAAATTGCAGCTTCCCTCCAGATCACTTTGGTTTTCAGCAGCAGAAAAGAGAAATGAAGAGCAATGCATTCCTCTGCAGCTTGTAGATTCATTTGTTATTTTAAATCATGACTGGGAAATAAAAAAGAAATCTGTAATTGTAAACAAACTTCCATTAAAAAAAAAGAAAAGAAATAGGAAAATATAGTCTTACAAAGAAGTCTATTAAATAAAATACAGTGTATCAACTTTGGGCCTAGATAAATATTTTACATAGAAATGTCATCCAAAGAAACTTACAGATTACACGTGTAAGAGAAGACTAGCTATTTCTGTAAAGCTTTCTGTCTCTAGGACTCCATTCTTCTGCCAAAAAATAAACTTTTCCCAGCCCTGACTCAACCCAACGGTGAAGTTCTATACTAGGCAGTTCAGTGAAAACATATATCCTATAAGTTAATAGCATTAATTATGAGCACTTTCCATATCTAGGCTTCAGAACAGCTTATAGTGATGATAAATGACCGCTATTACTCTGGGGAAATGGATAAGCAGAGGCAAGGAGTAATTCACCCAAAAACACAGAGCAAATCATTAAGAGAGCCAGGAAAACTGTCCAAAACTACTGAGCTCTGCAGCTATCCTGAGCAGCTTGGCTGCCAGCCATGATTTTGTATCTGCCCATACATGAAGCAGGAAAAAAAAAAAAAAAAAGAAGGGGAAAAAGAATGACAACTTCAGGTAAAAGAAAATAGGATTTAATTCAGAGATTTATTCCGTGTAGTGTTCTCTGTGTGCACCATAATGCACTCTGAAAAGTGGGGTGAATGCTTCAGCTGTGCCATTCTAGAATACATTTCTTTCTGACTGTGAAATCCTCACCTCAACCAACACAACAGTCCAATACTCACCATAATCATTGTGAAAGGTTTTGCGAGTTTTGGTAAGGTTGGAATGAAAATGTTGGGAAGCAGCTTGTGGGAGACAGCGATTTTAAGCTGAGATGAGTAAGACAGAACCAAAGAGTGAAGCATTTTTGCACTTCATCCCAGGCTGAAACAGTTGGACTATGATGGCATCTAGCCCCTGTTGGCAATTCTGGTATAAATGTTGGATTTGATGATATTAAAGGTCTTTTCTAACATAGTTAATTCTATGATTCTGTGCAGAAACTTGGGGCACAGCTCTCCACAGTGAGGATTGCATTGGGGTTTTATGGTCGCCCTGCCATATTCTGAGCTCTCCTTTACTCATTTAAGGAAAATGAGCTGAAACAGTCACAGGAATCACAAATGTCTGCTACAGATTAAAATTAACACAAGATGAATGACACGTATTTTCTGTGACTTCAGTGAACAGATGTGTTTCATTGAGCATCAAGACAATGGTCACAAGGCCAGAAGTTAAACATGAGGCCTAATTTGGCATAAAGAGGGGATTCATTTTTGTCCCACTTAAAATTTCTTTCCCACTCTTTTTCTCTTTTCCTCCCCATATTTGTGTCTATGGTGCCTTTTCCATTTGCATGTCCATGCTTTTACTTTATGTCTTTCCCTTTTTGGTAAATACAACAATTAGAAGTCTACAAATACAAAAAAAACAGGAGTGGGAGGTGGAAGAGGAGGGACTTCTGTCAAGGTGTGCCAAGAAAAAGGAGATTGCAAATATATGTATATGTGTGTGTGTATATAAATAGATTAAAAAAAACCCCACACATTGAACATATATGTATATATATAAACTGCTCTGTCCAGCAGTTTTGATTATGGAGTCATATGTTAATTATAGGCAGTCCAATTTAGAAGCAAAAATCTCAACAAGTCACTTGTTTACTGATTATAAATAATGCATGTTGCCAGTTTATTTGTATTCCTCTTTTATGGGTAAATCATAGAAGGTGTTGCTCACACACCAAGAGGGAAAAGATTTTGTGCATGTCCAAGCTGCTATTGCTGTAGAGGATGGGTAAACACTCTCTGATTTCATCTTTGTATTCTAACATTTAGGGATTCAGATGAGATTGCACAGGGAAGAGGAATGCAAATTATAGCAATAGCTGTATCTCTTCTTAAATCTTATGGGTAAATGTTTAGAGTAACCATGACAGGATATTAGAGCATGTGGACAACTGCTCTGCTTGCATGAAAAATCACTGTATCTTACAAGCTTATACTCTTCTAAACTGTTTCACAGACACAAAAAATTTACAGGCTTTTCTGTATTACGAGATAAGAGGTTAATGCTCATACTTGAAAACTGTCTTGCATCTGTGCATCCTTGTTTATTACCATCATATTCCCTGGTGCTATTTGAGTTTGGACCCACCTAGTTATGTCCCAAATGTTGCCTGTGATTCAGGAGATGCCACCAGAGGCATAGGCATGAGCAAAGGTTTTACCCATATGAAAGCAAGTTGTGCCATAACACATCTTCAGAGCCAAAGAAGGAGCTATGGCCCTGTTGCTCTACTGCTATAGATGCAGCCAAAGGTTCAGTTCTGAAAAACAGCCACCCATGTCTACCCACAGCCCCTATGTTCCCTAAATGTACTCACATGAAGTTTGCCTCAGTTTTGGCCAAATCAGGAAGCTATGTAATCTCTCTCCATAATCCCTGTATGATCCATAGCCTATGGGATGTCTGTCTCCACAATTGCTGTACACAACCTATTTAAGCCAACATAGTCTCGTGGTATGTAGTTTTGGATAGCACTACATTTCCACCCATAAATACAAAAATCCTCATTTAGGAAACTATCTCGCAAAGTAGAGACAATGTAACAGGCAGAAATTACCAGCAGAACAGGTCACAGTGTTGTTTTATAACAAGGCTTTAAAAAGCAGTATACAGAGCAAGGCATGGCTACAGGCTGGAGACCAGATTTATTTATGTATACGCTATGACTATTTAATGCTCTCTCACTAAAGAGCTAAGAAAGTCTATTATGTCAGTTGGCACCTTCCTAGAAAGTAAATCTGTGGGGAAAATCAATCTTTATTTCATTTGCAATCTTTATTTCATTCTACCTCTCACAATTTTTAGGAATTCCCTTTTTGTCTGGCAGTAATGTCAGAACACTGAAGGCTAGTGAGATACAAGGTTAACAACAATGAAACACAAACTGACACTTAACAATTGATGAGGCATTTTCTGCTTGACTGATAGTTTTGATTTTCCTGTCAGCAATTTATCCTGCACTGTAAAGGCTAACAGTTTAATTTTCATCTCTTTTAAAATGAAAGGTTCCCTGCTCATATTTCTGAATTCATTACAGAAGGGAGGAGAAACATGGGAGGAATATAGGAGAAACATGGGAGGAACAAAAACTTTTCTGTTCACAAAAAAACATATATGGAATAGAAAACTTTTAGAGCTTCCATATGTGTCTGACTCAGGTTTTAAATTTACATTAGGTTGTGCAGATAATCACTGTCATCCTCGAGTATGGTAGATAAACAATTTTTTTGGTGTGAAGTTATTTAAAGACTGATCTACTTTATTTAACTTATATTACAGTATGTTTCCACCAAGCTGTGAGTTTGGTAGGAGAAAGAGACTTGTGACAAAAGTAAAAACTCATATTGGATAGGAAGAATGCAGAGGCTGAAACTAAGTAAACATGGATAAATGTCTTTCAGTAACACTACTCCCATAACAGTCGGTTTCCTTTACAATTAGGATGGAAGTCTAGTCTTATTTTATTGACAAGAAGCAGACCATATTAATATCCTTGTAGAGCACTTAGACGATAAAGCTTCATCTTGCAGTTTGTACCATGAAAAAAATATCTATGTCTCAAAAGCTTTTAAAGTTGCTTCACTTCTCATTTAATAAGATGTTTCCCAAGTATTAGCTGCTGCTCTGCCCACTTGCTGAGGAGGTGGCTGTCACCATCCAGCTTTACAGAAGCGTGGATGAGGAGTCAATCCCCCATATATAAAATGTGGGGCAAGCAGCTGCAGGTCTCACTAACTCCAGCAGACGCAGCAGGTGTTCAACACTTCTGAAAAATAGTGTTGAACACCTCAGTTTACACCCAAGTTGGCAATAAAGGAAGAGAAGGATCCTCCACATCTGTTATCCAGAGTCACATGAGCCACCAGACAATGCTTCTCTCCTTCTTAAGGCTTTCCCTCAACTTTGACAGATGCATTTATTTTTAAATGTGTAGATTTTGCAGCTTTTTTTTTTTAACTTGTGGAAGATGGTTTAATCTGGGTCCAACCTCTGTTGAAATAGATAAAACTTCTAGGTAAGCAAGCTGGTCAACAAATGCATACTTTTTCTCCTTTTCCTTTTCCTTTCTCTTTCTCTCTTTCCCCTTTATTTTTCTTTTTCTTCTTCTTTTTCTTTTCCTTTACGTTTTCCATTTTCTTTTTCTCTTTTTCTTTTTCTTTTCCCTTTCCTTTTTTTTTTTTTCTTTTCTTGAGGTCAATATGCTAAAGAACATGGATGAACAGCCAGCTACAATTCCCTGTAGCTGGGAAAGAAGGCAGTAAGAGAGTCATGACTGATCCTGAGTCCAGCCCTATGAAAAGGAAGCCAAAACCCTTACTATAATCCATAAAAACCATGTGTAAATTTGGTGTCTAACTGTTATTACTGTCTTTGGCCAAACAAACCTGTGGCTAGCACAAAAGAAAACATTGCTATTCATTTGTAGTAAGACCAGAAATAGGCTAGTTCTAGTGCTGCTAAAAATTCCTGCCACAAATGTTTAAAACTGTTAATGTTCTCAAGGGTACAAGTCCGAAAGAGCAAACTAGGAGCCTGCTCA